GCGCCATACTAACACCACTGGTGTTAAACTGATCATCGCAATTGCAGTTACGATGATCCCAACATGGCGGAGCCCAACACAGGTAAAATCGTCTTTTTGTAATTTCTCCTTGTACACGCGTTGTTTTAAAGAATTAATCAGCCGCTAGGTTGATATGTACGGTATTGTTGTATGAGTGTGTTTTTAATATCATATGTGACCTTGTTACCGAAATAATAGCCATTGAAAATTTACGGAAGATCATCGTAACTCCAAGAATTTTGTTTGATATGATAGTCGTAACTGCATGGACTATTAGATAGTCGTAACTTGGACATGATCATAGTAACTTGTTAGTGATGATCGTAACTTTCTCTATATGCTGATGGGCGACTATATAAAAATCGTGTTTGAATGTTTGATAGTGTGGCTAGAACTAGTGAATAATTTACTAATTTACTTTTTGCTTTGTAGATATATAGTCTTTATATTTTACAAGTCATAATTTACGGTAATGTTCATCATGATGACAAGGAGAGGCAAACATTTTCCATGTTCACACATTGTCAATGGAAACTATAATGTTAAAATTACGTTCGTTTTCAAGTAAAGATAATTTTATGCTTTAGGTCACGGTGTCTTATTTTCCTGTGAACTATTAATCTCGTTCCCTTTTGTACATTGTTCACTTGAATGAATCGCCATGACTATGCATTTTATACAATGTAATTAGATAAGATGAATAACAGTTATTAATGTTAACTTTTGATATTTGTGAGGAAACAGTTGTTGTGGTAAGTAAATATAGACACAATGTTGATTATATTTGATCAGATAAACATAAGCATAAAGAAATTATCTGGTATTAGAAGGCTTATAATTATTAGTACATATATCTTAATTTTGACAATAACGTTAAATTGTATAAATAGCAATAAATAATTTTTGCGTTTCTATATACTATTTTATTTTCTACACATCTGACATGTATCAACGTCAATTTCGTGATCAAATAAAAGTTATAATAATATTTTATATTTTAGACGAGAATCCTTTGTTAGGAAATTGACTGTTTTACTCAATATTTCAATATCTATGTAGACAATGGACTATTCTTTGATAGCATTTAAAGCGGTAATGTTGCTTTAATAGAAAACAGAAACATATTTTTTTTTTCATATCAAGAAATTCCAATTAGTCAACTTTTGGGGACTTGAAAGAGGACTGTGTAAGGTCATTCAAGTATTTTACAAAGTATAGGGCAGTACCCTCAAATAAGTAAAATAAATTTATTTATTTTAAATGTTTTCACATTCAGCATTAAGAAATCATTAACCAGATCCAATTAATTTGTCGAAATATGCTGCGTTTGATTAATATAGGTAATCCATTTTAATAGGTGCTACAGGAAACGTCTCCGCTCTAGAAGGGTCCATATTGGTGGTCAATGATCCCCAATTTTCCAGTGCACCAACAAAGGATCCAGAAAATAGTAAGTAGCAACTATTTCTGTTTCCTGCTTAAATCTTATAGAACTGATCTTACTATAATATGGATATGTATATTGTTGTGTCATATACAGGATGTTGGTCAATGTAACTTTTGCAACGGCCACTTGATTTATGGTAAATATTAAAGACTTAAATGAAAGATATTAATTTCCAAACCAAATAGATATAGGTCATGTTAGCAATTCATCACAGCGATTTAAAAAAAAAATGCTTGAATTATTCTCTTTATTTGGCCATTACTAAATGGTGTAGTTTTAAATGACAATACAATTGCATATACAGATAAGCTGCTATGTGACAAATGTGGAAAGAAATACACAACAGAGGTTCAAATGTGGACAATGCCAGCAGGGGTTCATGTCAAGAACGCTGTTCCGTTCACACATTCTAAAGCACGCAGAGGTAAAAGCAATTACTACAATATATTCTCCTGTTTAAGAGGAACGTAACTTGTTTTCCATGCATTTGAACATATATTATTACCTCTTTTTGAAAGCATATATACATATAAAACATCTAAGTGTTTAAACAAACTTAACAGTGTCATTAAGTTACACTGATCATTTAAAAGTAATTGTAAAAACATGTCTAAAAACACAAGAATAGCACACACATACACAAACACAGTGATAGTTCTGTTGAACATTTTGTAAAGGGGCCACGTGCTGATTCTACATCTATTTTACAGGAAAAACAGTACCAATGTGGAGAATGTCCTAAAAGATATGTTTACAAAAAAGACTTGAAGGCTTATATCAGAGCGAAACATGAACAGCCTCGGAATGCTTTCAATTGTGATCATGACAAGTGCAAAAAGACATATACGTACAAACAAGGGCTACTGCAGCACATAAGAAGTGAACACACCGGGAAAGCCTTTGTCTGTGAACTTTGCAGAACAACTTACTCATATAAAAGTAACTACCAAAGGCACATAAACAAAAACATTGAATATTTTCAAATCAATAAAACAAAAATAATTTCGGAACTTGTTAATACTTTGTTGGCCGAAATATAAAACAAAACAAACCAATGGAGATAATTGAATTTTGTCATATTATTTAATTATGCAGCAAAAATGAATGAATTAAATAATATCTTCATCTGGTATTCCGAAACGTCTGTGGGGTAAACATTTTTCTTCGTTAAATTTATGAAATGCTTTTGCTCCTTCTGCCCCCCTTGCAGGTTTACCAAAGTCAAATATTGTCCCCGATTTCCTTTTGGGATTCTTTGTTCTCCTCGATTCCAGGTCGAAATGATGTGACCTAAAATTAAATGAAGACTTTGACACAAAAAAAGTCTAATTCAACTCTTTATTTAATAGAAAAAACTCTACCAATATATAATTCAAGTGAAGATAAGATGAGTATGCTCTTGTAGAGAATATTCAGTGATTGCAATGACGACATCTAAATAAATTTGCAGATCCTAGATGTTACATAGCAATAATAATGTGTTTCTTTGTAGAAGAAAATTATTGCTGCGATGTGGAAGAAATATATACCTTTAGCTGACTGTACCAAAATATTAAATCAAAAGTACCAGGCTGAGAATTAATTAAGACTCGTTTTTCGGTTTACACAATATTCTGAAGTGACGCTCGGATCAAAATATACCATGCAATAAGTTGATAGTGATTATAGAATACAAACTTGATAATACAATATCAATTTTGATGCACAAGATGTGCATATTTCGTCGATTTACGAGTCATCAGTGGTTTTCAATGCCATTTGAACATGTTGAAAACCAAGACAAAAATATAAAACTTTGGAGAGCAAATTCAAAAATATTGAAATAACAATCACTTGGTAATGCTGAAATGATTCAAGGACATATATTAGTCCCAGGGTGATACTACTTAATTTTTCACATTTTGTAACAGTAAATATATATATTGCAACTAAGGAAAGAAATGATAATCGAGTAATAGACAAGAATTAATTTACAGATGTAGGTCAAGATAGGAAGTTTATTTTGGCGTGTCAGATACAGCATAAAAAAAAAAAATTCTTTGAAACGAAGTGGCAAATTTGTAGCGGTTTACCTCACTTCAATTATTCTTCGTGTATTACGTTCAACATCCTGTTTGTTTTCATCGTCTGATTCTGATTCAACAATTGATGATACACTCTCAAGCGGATTTTCTGGATATACCCGAACTCTTTGTGATGTTCTCATGTAGAATTTTCTGTAAAATTTGAATATAAAAATATTTATAGGTTCCTTAAATTCTTAAATACTATTTACAAGCTGGACTTTTGTTGTGGTTAGAAATGCAATTTAAAGTTTTTATGTCTATAATGTCCCATATCGCCATAGTAGCCCATTTTTTTATAAACGTTTGTATGAATTTTAACCATATATCAAGGTATAAACATGTCAAACCCTTATCTAAACTAATTGCAAACATTTAGCATTCAATTATGGATAATGCCAATTAGCACATTGGTGTATTGTGATTTTACTGTCAATAACACCGCTATTAAAAGTCACATTCGTGTAGATCTATACCTTTTAGGATCAAGTCTTTGTTTGTATAAAAATACAGCAGCTCCGAGGGCTGTGGAGATGTCATCCGCTCTCAGCACACCTGTACCTTTTGGGTCGTAATCCTGAATTGGGAAAAACATTATTTAAGGTCTTGCACTAGGTAAAATAATTTATTTCATTTTATTTATTGGTTTTATCGACGCCGCTTTGAATATCTTTGAAGTATTTCTTTAGTGTATACCAAAGAAAGTGAATGCAATCTCAGCGAACGTCATGGTTATTGCGTTAAACGTCTTCAGTTAAAGCTGACTAACACAATAATTGTTCAAACGCAAAAAGAGTCCATATTTCCAACATCGGTTGTCCAATGCATACATGTGAGCTCAACTATGGAAAAGGTAAATAAAAGTATCTTTATATAGAAGCTGTAATATCCTATGGGCCGGTAGGTCAGAGTATAATATTTGTATACGTCTTTAAACCTGATGCTGCGTTCACACGTAATTCGAATTCGATTCGCATTAACTAATTCGAATTAGTTTAATTCGCATTCGAAACGTTCTACGTCCAAACGTAAATTCTAATTCGAATTGCAATGCGCGTCGAATTCGCTTTACTGTCTGAACGACGTTAACTTTTAATTCGTATTAACAAAAACGCATTTCTAATGCGAATCAATTCGAATGAAAAAAGAAGAGTGTGTGAACGCGATTAGCGAATTCGATTCGCATCCGATTCGAATTCAATTCGAATTAAATGTACGTGTGAGAATGGTTGTACATTAACTTTTTTGTCAAATGAATATGTTGAATTAAATAATATGTATATATATATTGAGCATACATTTAGAGTATAAATTGAGTTTATATTTAGAGTACCTGAAATCCTGAGAAGAAAGTTTCTGAGTCTAAACTACTTATGGCCCTCTGGTTGTATGCGTTCCTTTTCGTCATTGTGTAAAGTTGTAATCTCCGGTCTACATTTGTAAGAGTTCCCTCAAATTGGGCAAGAGGTAACCCACAAACGTAGGCGCCATGTGGAGGAAAATGGCCAGCTTTCAGAAATCCAAGAAAAAAAGATCTTATGTTCATCATATACAACAATCTCTCATCTAGTGAAATACCAGAACAATCTATGGCTCTATACCAATTTCGAATTAAAGAACACCATTCGGCCTCATTGGTGTCTCCATTTTCTTTCATTACATCTTCAACTTTGTCACTGAAAGTGGTTTGCGCAAAACTGTTACTTTGTTTATCTTTTCTATTTCAAACGACAACCCTGTTCCGTTTTTCTTTGAATCTGTGGCTACATCCCACCATGCATCTGGTTTAATGCCCATTCCAAGTATCCCCTTTGAGCAGCATCTACTTCTGTTATTAACAAATATATGATGAGGATCAATGATTGGTTGAATCATTTTCCCTTCAATAGTAGCAGGTTGTGCGTACCACTGTGCTATTGAAAACATGTTGCCTGTGTCCGTCTTATTTGCCAAGATCCATTGAATGTATTGCTCACGCACCATTTATCATAAGCTTCCAAGAAATTCAGTTGTGCGTATGCAACATTGATAGCCTCTATTGGCCATGATTTGATATGGTTTTTTACAAGCACCTTCATTTTTTTAGGTGTTTTTACCGGTTCATCAAGGATAGTTTTGTTCCCGTACCAATGTGATATGAGATTCACCAATTCTCGTTTTAGAGCAGATTTATTAAAGTTAACAGATTCCAAAATGTTTGCAAGCATTTTTAACTGTGAAACTGTAAAAGTGGCATTTATATTCTTCGCTGTTGCAAAAAGAGCTTTGAATTCATCTAGGGAATATGAATTGAATTTAGATTGTTCTTTGTCATTCGCAATTAAAGATATGAGAGCTGATTCATAAATTTCATCATTCAACTCAATATTTGGTTGCTCCGTTGACTCGCTCTGATTTTCTTCATTAAAAGACTCACTTGCACCAACTCTCTTGTGAATCTCAATCGATTTATCATCAAGACTAAACAAAATTTCGGTAGGCAGATATTGAAGAATATCACTGTCTAGGTCTGTCGATTTGGTTTTGTTATCTCCGTCTGCTTGTTCTTTCTGGTTTTTAGTTTTGGTTTTCAAAACTTTCGCGATATTTATCGGCGACCCTACTGTTCGAATACTGTATGACTCCTTAACTGCGATACTAACACCAGTTGAGGTCTTCTCGTAGTCAAAATATTTGGTTAATTCCGTTATTGAAAAGAACTCTGGCATATCATATAGCTTCATAATTGTTTCTTTTTTAATCTTGCTATCCATTGATTTGACTTCGTCCCAAATTTTTTCATAAATCTTAATACTGTAAGCGATCTACCCGAATCATCTTCAACGGCTAATTCAATGAATTGGCCATCAAATTCAATGGTTTTTGCATTCAACTGCCTGTCATTTACATCATTTACTATCTGCTTTAGAATATTCCTAACCGGCTTCATGGGTAAGCTAAACCCACTTAATCCAAAGTGAATCGGTACTGCATGCACAGAAGTATCATCACCCTTAGCTGTTCTCTCTAGATCCGATATTACTGTAACAAGGACCTCCTTTGCAGGTTTTCGAAGAATTTCATATGCCATATTTGTTGAACATAATGCTTTTTGGAGGGCCATTGACAATTGATCAGTTGATAGTAAGGTCGTACAAATTTCAGATTGGTGGTGACCCCAGATAGACGACATACTATATGTTGGCTGACACGAACAAGGGAGACTCCGTAAAGACGGAAATTCAGCTACAAACTCACATTTTTTAGCATAATCCTTCAGATCAGCAAGTAATTTTGTTGTGCACGGATCTCTCTTAGTAGGACGGCTGATGTTGCTTTGCCCATAACATTTTTCAACTAACTGCCAAATCCGTAACCATAGATCCTCTTCAAACTTACCACGAATGAATGTAATGCTTTCTGGAGTGAAGCATATGAAGACAAAGTACCTTAAATGTTTGGCCGCCATTTGACTCAATAACTGAGTTGTATAATACACGGGAATTTCATATTGTGCATCTGTTTTGTATTTTTTGTCTGGAATCGGACATTTAAATTCAAAAGCTATGACGCTCGTTTCCTCTCCTTTAGTAACACCTGTCCCATCCCCACTGACTACTGCTTTAGTGTCGCCGAATGAAATAACAGCACATCCGTCTTCTTTATAACACAAATTTGGAAAGTAGACTGGAAGGATTTTCCAAACAAGCGATCCAAGAGCGTGTATTTCGTTTGTTGTTCCATACTCAAACATGTAAGTTAATTCTTCAGAGACTGGTTTTTCGATTAGGCTGAAAACTCTGTCATAGTGTTCTTCTTGTTGATCTTTTAAAGTACTAGTATTCATTCCCAAAGCCCGAAAGATTGTACTCCCCGTAATTCTGCTTTCTTTTCTAAGACTTTGCCAC